CGATAAGCTTTTTTTCTATATCGCCCAGCCCTAATATATATATATATATATATATATATATATATATATATATATATATATATATCATATCAAAATCTCATTTTGAGCCTTTGTCAAGTTTAGGAAGTTTATTTTCCTAACATTTGCAGACTTATACTGTAGTTATTTTTGCAGGCTCTCCCTTTTAGTGGCATTAATTCAAAGAAGGCTGGTGCCTCATTAAAGTTATCAAGTTAAGAAAAACTGTAAAATTTCTCCCACATTTAATCCTGAATAAGAAAATCTGACTGAATGCATCAAAGTACGGATCGCTTAGAATCCATGAGAAAGTCTCTGAGTTTGCATCTGATCTGGCGTTTAACTTACTTGGGATGGCGTATGTCAGGGACGGAGCGATTCAGCGAGATCCTATCGCTGACGTAGATGTTGAACCCGTTCTCCCTGTAGGCCTGGTCCACCCGGTCAGCATCGGTCAGAGGGAACGGCTTCCCCTGCTCACCGTTTCCTGGAACATACGCTTCCATGTCAGCTCATCCATTCAGTAACGCCTCAGGCTGCAGCTGTTTGAGCTTTTTACTCTTTTTGGACAATTATTCATTTAATTTATCAGTTCACTGCCGAGTCTGAAAAAGGCATTTCTTTTTATACACAAACGTGATTTTTAAGTATTAAAGGTTTATTTACAGAGAGAGAGACAGGATGTGCAGGAGACGCACATGATGAGGGATTAATAGATGATTTACCAGATCTTGCTGCGTCTCTTCTGATTGTCTCATAGTCATGCCAGTCTTTCCGCTGCACGCCATGGCGTCCCACTTTGGCGTCTTTCCCAACCCTGTTCACCCCCTGTTAGGAAAAAAATAACCCTAAGTTAGTTTAATAAAGTCCCAGATCAGTAGATAACTTCACTGACATCTCTACAGGTTAATTGGGTTAAATTGTGCGACAGAATAGTGCTCTGTAGTCACTAGTGTCACAGAAGGAAAAATACTGACATCCATCATTAGTTTCTCTCTTAAAGTAGATGCAGTGGATAAAGCATGATGATGCTAAAGAACAGATTTTTAAACTAAATTCTCACAACAGAAACGTCCGACCATCACAAACTAAAATAGAAATATTTGTGGAATCAATCCTTCTTATAAATGAGAGCGTAAAGCGGATCTAGTTGAATTCATTCAGTCAGAGGAGCAGATTGCTGACTGATAACAGTGACTGTTAGAGAAGCTCAGAGGACAATGATGTTAGAGCCTGAAGAAATCAACCAGTCAGACAGCAAATATGGGATATAATATAACACCAGATATGAAAGTAGCCCCATTTGGATTTCTTAAATCAGTTAATGTATGTATTTTGTTGACAGTCTCTGCCATAAAGTTCAGAAAGCTTATTGTTTCCAATGGACAGGCTTCAGACAGGCCTGCAGCTAAAATGGAGTCCAGCGGTGGAACGTTCAGTTCGGTGGACAGAATTAGAGAAGGCAACCATCCGTCTACATCAGGTAATGAAGTTCACACTGCATGCTAGAGTGCAAAGATCAGAGATAATGTTAGAGGAATACGTTTGTGGACCTCTAAGAAAGGAGCATCTGGAGGCCAAACCTCTGGGTGGAATAAAGAAACATGGCTGCTGTTTGAGAAGACATGATTCACAGAAAAGTTTCCATCTTAAACTGTAGTTAGGAAACAACAGGACTCCCCTAGACCTGAACGACAGGGATGGATGGATGGATGGATGGATGGATGGATGGATGGATGGAT